GTCTTAGGTTACGTATAGTATTTATTAAGATTTTTTAGAAGATACACTTTCATTCCCAATATATATACGTAAACATACGAATTTAATAACGTTGCAATTATATCATTAAATTACGTAGTAATTTTCGAAACTTTCGAGTATACACACCTTTATATCCACCAAAATCATAAATGTTACATACCAAAATAACGTCAACATTAACATAAATTCTATTTAACAATTATAGCTTATTACTTATTGACATAACGAAAGTCATAGTTTTCGTTTGATGATCTGTAAAGATATACATATAAAAACTTATGTAATTCTGACAATTACTAAATTGTATTTTTTTTTTGAAATTATTTCTGTTCTTTGTTTTTTAAAACGCGTAATTAGCAAATTAAAGATTGGTATCTGCAGTATGCGTCTTATAATTATGTGAACTCGGCCTGTCTGATAAGTTTGCTAGGATTGGGCTTAAGTGTGCAATGCGCAATCGCAAAAAGGTGTCCCGCGCAGTTCGCGCTTTACTTTAATATGGGCACCATGTACGAATACGGTAGTCATACATGCTGAATGTCTCGTCTCGAAAGTAAGAACATGTAAGATTTTGGTAAGTATAAGATAGAAATAATTAAACATATTAATACTAAATACTGATAATGAAGTGCGTTTTGTTAAATTAAATATAAATTTAACATATATAAGATAGCAATAGACCAAATTCCGGATGACAAGTGCGTATTCTAAACGAAACTAAATTTTTTTTTCGTTATAATAATACCTTGCACAAGACATCAAATTTTTTACGTTGGACACTGCCAAGATATTACAATTGGAATAATCTCTACAAGAGATTTTTAATTCAATGTATCACCTATTCCCCTAAAGAAATAAAGTGCGAGAGAAAAATATAGATCCGAAAGTCGCAGATCGGAATCGAACCCGAGACCTTTCGCTAGTAGCTATCCTACTCAATAATATTAACACTTTTTCAAGATCACATCTTCATTATACAATGAATTACAATAGTTAAAGCTATCATATTTATTTCAATATTTTACTTGAATAAAATTTGATTCGCATAAATTAATTCAAATCAAATAAACACTAAATTAAAAATTAGACTCATTGTAGAAAATATTTATTAATTATAAAGATTTTCTTTGATTTGCAATTGAGCTATACTATAAGAAAATTCAATAATATTTTTAACATATGTGAAATATTTGGAAAAAATATTATATCTACAGTTTTTCTAATGCAATGGTTTCCTGGTCAACAAAATTAGCTATTTGATATTATTTATCATTGAAATTACCATTACAATCATTATAAAAAAATTATAGACCAATATTTTCTATTAATGTTTTTTTAAATATTCAAATTATATTTTATTTGTTTTAATCAATGGATTTATTTAGATTGAAAAAAAAACTGTACATGTCTCACTTGTTAAAAATATCTTATTTATCAAAATATCTTTTATTTTACAGATAAGTTTCCATATATACAGTATCATTGCTCGTGATAAGGATATACAACGGCGTGCACACAAGGTTTTACGTAACACACGACTGCATATAAATACAGATATTTGGTGAACACACCTCATTTTACCACTTCATAATTTTCATATTGGTGAGTACGATTCATTTTATTTTTAACCTCATATTTCCCATATCTTTCGCATCATTTTTTGCACGAGCATATAATGAGAAAACAGTAATCTTATTTGCATTGCCTTTTTGAATTATCAGAGGCTTAAACATTTCCAGTATAAATATATTGGTCTTTTAGTACCATGGCGAAATAGTTTGAGTGATGATATCTTTGTTGCATTTTTCACGTGTTAATTCTAACGAATAAAAAGTCGCAATATAAACAAAAATATTAATAAAAATCAAATAATTATACAGTACATTTTATGCATTTACCATTATTATGATAAAATATAATTTAAAAGTATCTGATACGTATCGGATACTTTTAAAGTATCTGAGTATCTGTATCAATATACATTTTGATTTGTGTATCTGTATCTGTATCTAGATATATTTTTTTACACGTATCTGTATCTATATCGAGATACATTTTAAATGTATCTTACTCATCACTGATGTATATATATGTATATGTAAATGTGTATATATAATTATAAAATACCAGGGTTGGGAAGTAACGAGTTACTTGTAACGAAGTTACAGTTACAGTTACTTTTTTTCGGTAACTGTAACTTAACTTCGTTACTTTTCTCCATCTGTAACTGTAACTGTAACTTAGTTACATTTTTTTAGTAACTAGTAACTATTTTAACAGTTACTTTATTAATTACTTTTTTTGGAAACATTCGCTAAAAGTATCGTTTAAGTATGGTAGCCGTTATATTGTTAAATTAATTTTGATAACAGTAGCATATATATATATATATATATATATATATAGATCTTCATATATAATTTAATTTTTTACCTAAAATTTTTATTTTGTGTACATAAAATAATACAACACATAATTACAATCGACCAATCACAGTCAAGTATTTAAAAAATTCTTAAATGTAATAATTAATCGATTTGCTTGCGACTTTGCGATTACAATTTAGTAAGTTACCATATATAACTATTTTTACTGTTGTATATAAAGGTCATTCATACATTGATGGTAATCGCAAAGTCGCAAGCAAATCGATCAATATTACATTCAAGAATTTTTTTAAATACTTGACTGTAGTTGTGCATAATATGTAAGCTCCTTATATTTAAAATAATGTATAATTATTTTTAAAAAGTAATTGAAAAGTAACGACTCGTTACTTTTTAATTAACTGTAACTGTAACGAGTTATTTTTTAAAATTGATAACTTGTAACTGTAACTAGTTACTGTTTCAATAAGATAACTGTAACTGTAACTAGTTATTTTTACAAAGTAACTTTTCCAACCCTGTAAAATACTATATATGAAATCTGTCCATATATAATTACATATAATTAAATATATAATTCCATATAACACAGAAAGATTGCAGACATAATTAAAATGTTACAGTGATGCAATTTACATAATATAGTCTTATATATGATATATAATCTATAATTTTATATAAGATCATTTTACAATATGTAAATTGCGTCACTAACATTTTAATTATGTCTGCAATCTTTTTATGTTATATGGGATATAATTAAATCTAATATATGGACAGATTTCATATGTAGTTTTTAGTTTTATACAATTATATATATAATCAATTTATATATATGATTGTATATAAAAAATTTTTACCGAAATGAAAAATGTATTTAAAATATTATTTTAGATTATTAGAGTATTATATCAGATTTCTAGATTATTTCACTATTGTTAGCATTAAATTTTTTGATATAAATGAAATACTTAAGGAATGTGAATTACATTTTTTTCTATTTTCTATTAGTATCCGTTAAATATTACGTAAATTATATTTTTATTATTGGATTAGTTTGTATGAAAGAAAACCTGCAAAAGTCCACTTTAAAAATATTTTTTATTTATCAAAATATTTTTATTGTCCAGATAAGCTTCCTATATACAATCTCACTGATAAAGGAGAATATAACATAAGCAATAAAGGCGACGTATAAGGCATATCCAATAATCTATCTTCGTACATATAATCGCAATTTAGCTTTTCTGTTTCTTTATAAGATTATATCATGTCCAAGTCAAAATTACGACTAGACATTACTTCTTTAACGCCAAGGCAGCGGCGACGTATTTTTTTTTAAAATTCAATAATATTTGCCAAATGAATATTGAATCAAATTTGGAAGTTCAAAATAATATAAGTGGATCAAATGGACCAGAAAATATCGAACAATTACCTCAACAACAAAATGTACTAAAGGAAATTAATTTTAATTATTCCAATGTAATGCATACTCACAAGATTACTGAAAATGAAGATGATTTAATTTTCAAACATTTGAGAATTGGTACTGATAATAATAGTTCTCATTCAAGTATTTCAAGTGATGAATTTTCTAATAAAACAGATATTATTAACGACATCCGATTATGGGCTATTGAAAATCATGTCAGTCATTCTGCTACTAGTAGTTTACTGAAAATTCTAGTAAAATATGGCCATAATCTTCCTCTTGATGCTCGAACTCTGTTCCAAACTCCCAAGCAAGTAGACATTATTGAAATGACACCAGGCAAATATTATCATGCAGGTTTAAGTGATAGTTTAAGAAAATCTATTCGTAAGCATTATTGTCAAAGTAATTTACCATCTCAAATAAATATTAATGTGAATATAGATGGTCTTCCTTTAACAAAATCTTCTGGCAGTCAATTTTGGCCTATTTTAGGTAGTATAGTTGCAGATTTTTACACTGAACCGTTTATAATTGGTGTTTATCATGGTTTTCAAAAGCCAAAATGTTGCAATACTTTTCTGAAATATTTCAAGGATGATTGTCTTGAAATTTTTCGAACTGGTATTGTACAGTATGGCAAAAAAATAACTGTAAAATTGAATGCATTTATCTGCGATGCTCCTGCAAAATCATTTATCAAGGGAACTAGAGGACATAATGCGTATTTTGGATGCGGTAATTGTATTCAAGAGGGAGATTACGTAGAAAATCGAGTAACGTACCCAGAAATTAATGCAATATTAAGGTCAGATGAATCATTTAAATTAAAACAACAAGAAGAACACCATAAAATGACTTCAAATCTTGAAGACTTAAACATTGGAATGGTTACTCAATTTCCTTTAGACTACATGCATCTCGTACTATTAGGAATAATGAAAAGATTATTGCAGTTTTGGATTAAAGGCAAACATAATGTTCGTATGGTTGCAACTCAGATAACTCTTGCTTCAACTTCTTTATTATCTATGTCATCATTCTTACCCAAAGAATTTGCTAGAAAACCAAGGAAATTAGATGAGGTCGATCGCTTTAAAGCCACCGAATTAAGACAATTATTATTATATACTGGGCCAGTAATTTTTTTGAAAAATTACCACGCGATAAATATGTTCATTTTTTGAGTCTAAGTATAGCAATTCGAATTTTATGTAGCAAAAAATATTGCGTACAACTGCTTGATTATGCACACAATTTACTATTGTATTTTGTTGAAAATTATGGCACATTATATGGTTGTCAATATATATCATATAACGTTCATAATTTAATTCATCTGTGTTATTATGTAAAATTATGGGGAGTGTTAGATGAATTTAGCGCGTTTAAGTTCGAAAATTACATGCAAAAAATTAAATCAAAGATAAGATCTTCAAGTCAACCATTAGAACAATTAGCCAATCGTTGTATAGAAGAAGATAATTTGGATATAACAAATGTAGAAAAGATTTATCCAATATCAAAAGTACGTATTATAAATGGCAGAAAGATAATAAAATCGGTTCAATGCAAGGGTTTCTATCTTAGTACAAGAACTGCTGATAATTGTTGTTCTTTATTAGATGGTACAACGGTTTCGCTTACGAAAATTTATTTTAAAAATAAACAGATTTATGTTACTGCTAAAAAGTATTTGAATATTAAATCATTTTTCCACATTCCATGCGACTCTTTCAATATCGGTATTAAACAAATTAACGAGTTACAATATGAGTTAATTACTATTCCATTGTTTGATATTAAATTAAAATGCGTAAAATTGCCTTTATGTGACGAAGAAGCTGTAGTATTGCCTTTACTACACCAACAAGAAATATGTTAATGGCGAGTACTTATATATTGATATAATCTATAATTGAAAACAATATTAAATATTAAATTACTTAACAAATTTTACTTTTTAACAGATTATTAATAATGGCGAAAAATTTCGCTGTCGTTACTTTTCCAAGCGATGGAAATAATGAAGAAGAAATTGTATCAGAAGTTCCATCTTTATGGCTTTCTTTCAATTTAAAAGAATGCTGGTGGCCATTGGTAAAAAATGTAAATACCTTTATTATAAAACAAATTCCACCTGTTATTAATGATCCTAAATGGGAATCTTATCCCATTAAATTTCATGGATATTATGGTAAGTTATATTTTATTTTAGAATTTATGTAATTGTTTTTTTAATATTTTTAAAAAATAATGTAATTTCTAAATACGATTTTGTCTCAATTTAGATTCATTAGAGGAAGCTAGACAGAGAGCAACGAACTATTCTTCAAGTGAGGAAAGCAATATAAATGAAATAAAGAAGTCACGCACAAGACAGTTGAATAAAACTGTTTCTCACAATGAGTCTGAATCTGATTCTGATGACTCACGTTTAGTTATACCAAATCCACCAAATCTTACTGTAAATACAAATGCCTCGCAATCAGTTAACAAAAGTCAATCTATCGCAACTGTTATTAATTCATCAGTTGTCAGCAATGATATTGACCTGGAGATTCTTGATGGAACTTTAGTACCACTTAAAAGTAATTTTTATTTTAAAATTCTTTAATTCAATTTACTTATATTATTTTCATAATATAAGTTTTTTTCATTACAGTTATTACAGTTATTATTGTTTATTATGTGAATAATCTAATATTTCTTTAATGTTAATTTTTAGGTATACAGGATGTACATACGTTAATATCAGATGGATTCGAAAAAATGGAAGGTATTGTATTTATTTTTGTCTTATAATCTTATTGTCTTATAATATACTTTATATCTATTTTTGGCACTGTTTATTCAATACTATTAATTTTTCAGGTCATTTTAAAAATATATATACAGCTATACAGTTACATTAGGAATACAAGATCTAAATGTTCATTTAACAAATATAGAAAAACAAAATAATCAACATAAATCCAAAGCATCTGTCACGGATACATCAAATATACATCAATTTTTTCCATTTAAAAATATAAATGAAGTAACAGCTTTTGAAAACCGTTTATCAGAAAATGTAGATGAGTACAACAAATTTGTAAGTTTAATTTAGCTTATTTAAATGCAAATTTCATCTAAATAGAACAATAGAAACTGTATTATCGGTATGTTTTATTTCTAAAGATGCTGTATATATCTCGCATAGGCGGAAGGTCCGCCAAGGAAAATTTAATTCGCATATACCGAACTTTATTTTCCAATGAAGTTGCCAAAGAATCATCTTGGAAAGGATTGCGAAATCATTTTAAAATTAGTAGCTTAAAGTATATATTAATGGGAATACTAGGTAAAATATATTTTTATATTTATTTTTATAAACAAGTTTATAAAATAAAATTTAATTTAATGTATTGTAATATTTCAGCAACAATTTCCGGTCAACATCAATTCACAAACAAAGAATTTGAAGAGGTCACAAAAGAATGGTTTCGCCAAGGTGGTCAGAGGCTTAGCAGACAAAAAGATTTCGAAGAAATAAATCCGCAAGTCATTTAAATGTTTCAGATGCTTATGATTTATTTTCATTATAATTTTTTTCTATAGTGGCTAGAGTCTATTAATATAACAAAAATATTTTTCTTTTCCTAATTTTTTTTATTGAATAATTAATACTTAAGTTTTTAGATTTTTGTGTTCTAAATTCATATAGTCTGCACTGTTTCTTTTCATTATGAGTTCTTATATATATATATATATATATATATATATATATATATATATATATAACGTCATTACTTGAATTAAATATTTCTTTTAAGAGAATTAGCAGACTTAGTAAGCATCATTTATTGATACTTTTGAATAACAATTTTGTTTCAATTTTTTTTGAATTACAAAAAGTATAACCGTATTTTCTCCATGCAATTTGAATTATGTTTACATTTTTGTTTAAATTAAATTTAATATATTTTTGTTTAAATTAAACTCTAACGATACACACTCATGTATTTTCGACAAATTATTAATGAATTACACATGAATCTCAAAAGTATAATTTGGATGAGTGTATTGATGAAAAGTTTATTGATGTGAGAATTATATAGTTTTTATATGAAAAGTCTATAGAAAATTTACTTTATACTAATGTATATATAGTGTTAAAACCAAAAATGAAGTCGCGAATACTCGTGTGTATCGTAAGAGTTAATTTTATAATAATTATTATTATAAATTTATGTTTTTATTTAAATTTAATTAATTTATGTTATTAACGATTATTACAAGTGTAATACTACACTTCGCAACAAAATTAGAAAATTATCATAGTCTGATATTTAAAAGCATTTTAAAACTAGAAAACTCAAAGTTTTCAATGGAGATTTTTTAACGGAATTTCTTTACACAGATTTTACTATAAACTACTTTAAAATAAGCCTTATATAATTGTAGAAAAAAAACTTTAACATTGATAGGCGATTACGGAAAGAACAAATTTTTTATCAACTTTATTAATGGTATTAAAATATAGTATTTTTTTTTTAAATGCATTTTTATAAACATTGCGTTACGAATTGTGTTTTGATGTTTTGAAATAAACAGCATTTTCAGGCCTTTTTAAAAAACTTCATATTTGTTGTCGGTATTGGTAATACCCACAGGAAAGTTACAAGGTTGGACTTACACTTTGTGTGTGTACATGTGTGTGTGTGTGTGTGTATGTGTGTAAGATGTGTGTGTGTGTGTGGAAAGGGTATGAGTGAGTATGTGTGGGATGTGTGTGAGCGTGTATGAAGTGTGTGAATGTGTGTGGAGTGTGTGTGAGTATGTGGAATGTGTATAGGATATGTGTGTTTGTATAGGGTGCGCGCGAGTGTATGTGTATGTGTGAGTGTGTGTGTGGAATGTGTATATATGAATAAGGTATGTATGGGGTATGTATGAGTGTGATGGTGTGTGCATGTGTGGGGTGTGTGTGAGTGTGTATATGAAGTGTGACTGTGTATGGAGTGTGTATCAGATATGTGTGAGTATGTATGGAATGTGTATGAATGAGATCAGTATGTGTGTGGAATGTGTGAGTGTATAAAGTGAGTGTGTATGGAATGGGTATAAATGAGATCAGTATGTGTGTATGGGATGTGTGTGAGTGTATGGAGTGAGTGTGTATGAAGTATGAGTGTGTATGGAATGTATGTGTGTGAAGTGTGTATCGGATATGTGTGAGTGTGTATGGAATATATATGAATGAGGTCAGTATGTGTGTGTGGGATGTGTATGACAGACACACATTATATACATACTTACACACATTCTTAAAAACACCTCCCCCCACATATAAATTATATATATATAAATAATACAATTGTCTCATATTAGTGATAATATACCAACTTATCGACTGTATTCGATCATCACTACCATTTATACATTATACATACACAGTCATTATATAAACTAACGCACACAACATTCTATAAATATATATATATATATACTACACATTTATACATCCACACTTATACATTACACACCTCCGCACACACCATGCACATCACACATACCCTATACGCACTCATACACACACACACACACACATGCCCCCCCCCCACACACACTTCTCACACATACACCTCCTTATGTACACATACTTTTCACACATATATACACCCCGCACACACCCATACACGTTCACACACATCGCACACATGCTCACACGTACCCCACGCTTACACACACCCATACTCTACACACACTCCACACATACTCACACATTCCATACACACACACATCCCACACATGCTCACATATACCCTTCTCCCCCACACACTCCACACACACACACACACACACACACCCCATACACACATCCCACACACACACACACACCATACACGCTCACACACAGCTCACACATGCTCACACGTACCCCACACACACCTTACACACCCATACTCTACACACTCCACACACACTCACACATTCCATACACGCACACATATCCCACACTTATTCACACGTACCCTTCCCCCCACACACATACATCTCACACACACACACACACACACTTGCACACACATACACACACGAAGTGTAAGTCCAACCTTGTAATCTTCCTGTGGGTAATACCAATATCGACAACAAATACGAGGGTTTTTTTTAGAAAATAAGCCTGAAAATGCCTATTCATTTCAAAATATCATAACTCAGAGAAACACAATCCACATAATGTAATATTTAAAAACGCATTTTGAAAGGGAAATGCTATATTTTAATACAATTAATAAAATTGATAGAAAATGAATTCTTTTTCTCCTCGTGCACGCCAAAGTTAAAGTTTTTTCTACAATTTTGTAAGGCTTTCATTGTAGAATAGCGCCGTTTGCAATAAATCTTTTAGTAAATCTTTGTAGGGAAATCTCCATTAGAGCATTAGAAAGTTGGAGTCTCATACTTGAAAATGCTTTTTGATATACTGCTCTACGATCATTTTTTGTAAACATACATGAATTTGAATTTGATTCTTTCTAATTTTGTGACCCTAATTTTGTTGCGAAGTGTATTAAAATATAAGCATAATTTTCTGCTTGTTTATTATTATCAGTTATTTAGCAGTTGTTTATTATTTACAGCTATAAATATATATTAAAAGTTTTCTGTTAAAAAGAATCTGTAATATAATTTAAATTATATTATAATTTATCATTATGATTGCGAATTGAAAAAAAAACAGTTTTATAAATGTTAATTAGTAATGTTTGTTGAAAAATTCATTTTTTAACAATTTATAAAAATAAAGAATTGTTAAAAAAACCAATATTATATTGTTATATTTATATATATATACACGATTTTTAAAAAATATCTTAATAATATAGATTATATATATATATATATATATATAATTCTTTTAATTTAATCAATTAAAAACAGCTCATTAATAATTTCATCCAATCAATAATTTTACGCTGTTAAAATTAATTTTTATTTACTAAAAGTTGATGAAACTATTGATTCTTAAAAAGATTACTGATATAGATAATTAAGGCAAAATTACGTATTATATAGCAACATTATCCTGTATATAATATGTAACAAAATGACGTAACAAATATTTAAAATTTAAATAAATAATTATATAACTATAGCAGAATAGTCTCTTTATTTTAATCATTGATGCATATATATATATATTATAATATATACATTTATCGATGATTAGACTGAAGAAAGATTGTTCTGTTATAGTTTTGTAATTTTATGTTTAAATATTAGTTATTTGTTACGTCATTTTGTTACATATATATAACATAATGTTGCTGTATATAATACGTGATAATTTGACCTAAACATTACCTATAAATTACATAATGGTTACCAGAACAGAGAATATCTGTTCTGTAAATGTTACAAATAATATTTAATAGGTTCTGTTATAGTTACGTAATTTTATACCTAAATTTTATGTATTTGTTACGTTATTTTGTTACATATTACATACAACATAATGTTGCTGTATACAATACGTAACATTTGACCTAAACATTACCTATAAGTTACATAATGGTTACCAGAACAGAGAATATCGGTTCTGTAAATGTTCTGTAAATGTTATGTAAATGTTACAAATAATATTTGATAGGTTCTGTAATAGTTACGTAATTTTATGTCTAAATTTTACGTATCTATTACGTTTAAATTTTATGTATCTATTACATATCATATACAGGCATAATGTTGCTGACATTTCCATCTAAACGTTACTTAATAGTTGACATAACGGTTACCAAAACAGGGAACAACCGTTTTGTATATTATCTGTAAAAGTTACAGAACAGTGTTTATTGGGAAACAACAATGAAATAATTGTATCATTGGATGTAATATCGTTGTTCACGAATGTACCTCTGGACCTTGCAATAGACAGTATAAATAACAGGTGGCATTATATTGAAAACCACACATTAATTGGCAAAAATGAATTTGTTAATGCTATTATATTTATTTTAACTTCAACTTTCTTTACATTTAATAATACTATTTATAAACAAATTTATGGAACCCCTATGAGATCTCCAATCATAGCAGATATTGTTATGCAAGATTTAAAAATTACGATACTTGATAAAATTAATGCAAATGTAAGATTTTACTATCGCTATGACATTTTAGTTTGCATGCCGGAGGATCAGGTCTCATATTTAGTTGAAAAATTTAATGATTATCACGATAGACTAAAATTTACAATAGAACGAGAGGACAACCGTTGCATAAGTTTTTTGAACATTTCACTCAAAATTATAAATAACATAATTCACATTGATTGGTTTCAGAAAAAAACATTTTCGGGTAGAACACTTTCATATTATTCAAATCATCCTATGTATCATAATAAAAGTGTCATATATAATCTAGTCGACCGATCATTACTATTATCACATTCTATTTTTCACAGTAAAAATTTAACATTAATTATAGAGATTTTATTAAGTAATAGTTATCCTCTCGATCTCATTTTCTTAGAAATTAATAGAAGACTGAAGTTTCTCATAGTTAATAGATTAAACACCGAAATGACTCATAATACGAATAACAATGACATAAATAATGACAA